GAAAGTTCTCGAAGTGGCGACAGGCGGGGATTGTCCCCGTGGCAACGCAGTAGACATCTACCACGTTGCTTCGCTCCCATGCAGCACTGAACAGCAGGAGATGCTAGCAGAATGTGGGAGCAGCGGACTGAAGGGAGGCGTGGGGGTGGACGGTGGCGAGTAAACGGGTAGAGTAGAAGTCACGGAAGATATGGGGATGGAAAGGGTGGGAAGGGAAGGTGACGGGGTACGGATCTGCTTGAGGGTGAGGAAATCAAGGGGCCGGCGGGACAACGTCCGAGGACGAAGGCCTATCGCCCTCATCGGTACGTGGGCGAACTGGGGGACGGGTGGGGCTGGAGGAGGAGGGGGATCGGCGCCGTCTCCGTCGCGCGGTACTCGAGGTGGCGGCTGCAGGGCCGCCATCTTCGGGCCTCGGCGGCTCTGGCTTCCTGGTTGGATTGCTACCGATGCGCAGGCTGGCTTCGCTAGCGGACTCTAGCTGGCTCTTTCCGGAGGCAATCTCTTCGCGCTTTCGCGCCGCTTCCGGATCTTCCGCCTCCGTTTCCGTACGCGTCGCTTCCGCCGACGGGGCTTCCCACTCGGACCCGGTTCCTTCTTCTTTCTCTTCCTCCTCACTCAGCTCGCCCTCGCTATGTTCACTATGGCTTCCCTCCTCCGATGTTTCCTCGTCGTCGTCTTCGTCGTCGTCGTCGTCGATCACCTCTTCTTCTGCCCTCGGGTAGAAGGCGTAAGGGATGATCTCGTACGGCTTCAGATACTCCTGCCGCGATGGTAGCGTATCCTCGTCCCTAGGTTCCTCCAAGCACGAAGTCCACTGAAGGTACGGATCCAAGGATCGCTCGAAAATGTACGGAGCAGGACTGTTGTCACTCTGAAAATAGATGTCGGGCGAGAGGTCGTCCGCCAATTGCACAATCGGTGCGATGAGCTCCTGTGCAATCAACTGACGGCGACCTGGTTGTACCGATCCAAAGAGGAATCCGATAAGATCTGCTTCCGCGTTAGTCCTCCAACCTTGTATGATTAGCAGCTCCGGACTCTCGATCCATGTCGGGTGCTCAACAGTGCCCGTCCACTTCACTTGTACTCAGGCCAGGCAGAAAGACAATTCCTCAAAAGTCTCGCGCCACTGCCGCCAATGTCCAGGATTGATAAGAGGGACCGAAAGGGGTTCGAACGAGAAGGAGAGAGAAGGGTGATGATCAGATTGCCAGAAGGTGGGGAAGAGAGAGGGAAGACCAAAGATAGAGAGAGGAGCGAGAAGATTGGCGTGGTTCATTGGGAATGGGGGAAGGGAACGAGGGTGGGAATCACAACTGGCCGCTCGCTTGGTGATCGGCAAATACCGTCAAGATCCGATGCAGAGATCGGGATGATGTTATACCCTTCCCGGACGAGGACGTGCTACCATACGTTGGACACTTGCTCCGTCCACTCGCGCAGCGAGGCCAAGATCGCGGTATGCCTCAGCGGATTGACCGAGCTGATGTCGTCGGTGAATCCCGCCGCTGTGGTGACGTGGCTCGTTCGAGGACCCGCTCGCCGATGAACTGCAGTAACCTCTGCGAATATTATCGCGTGAGGGCTTCCTTCTATCCGAAACGCGGCGGCGACACAGATACCTTCGTCGCAGAAGAATCGCATCAAACGGCGGAGATCCGTATTGAGCCGAGGGTGACAAACTTGCCGAATTTCCAAGATGTTGCCACGTGGCTGCCACAGCTGTAATTCAAGAACCCGCTCCGTGATAAAAGTCATGGTGAGGTCGGAGAGGAGTACGAGGGACAAGAGGAGGGAGAAAGAGGACAGAGGGTTAGATCGTCGTTGTTTTCCTCGCTTTCCGAAGGAGAAGAGGGAGGAAGATCGGAAGGAGGAAGGAGACAGAGGTAGGAGGTATGCCGGACGATGGGGACGGAGCTGTGACTGGTGCTAGCCTCAGGCGCGATGCGTACCGTGTTAGCGCCGTTGGGTCCGAGCTCGCCAACGCGAAAACAGCCAGAGAATTTGGGAGCGAGTTTCCGGTCGCGTGCACATTTACGTACCTGCACTAGGCCCCCCAATTTATATTGGTACTGGGGCCCAGCATTCCCGTTCCGAGCCTCATAGCTACGGATCTGTCTACCGTGGGCCAGTTCGGTCATCCTTTGCCTTTTTCGGGCTAGCTTCGGAACGGCCCGTTCCATCAAGTCGGCGTACCTTTTGGCCTTGGCTTTAAGGGCTGCACGCGTGTCTCTACCCCCTGCTTCGGCAATTTCCGAGTTACCCCGGTAATCAACACAGGGGAGGCTATTAGTTCGAAGCTGAAAGGGGGTGAACCCCATAGACTCGTGAGGGGTGGCCCGGTGGACGCCGACGATCTGATATACGATTTCGGGCCAAGGACGCGTGTAATCATACGGCTGGCATTCTCAGCCGACCCGTTCGACTGGGACACGTGGGGTGCCGTATGTCGGAGCGTGACGCCCTTTCGCGCAAGTAGTTCTTCTACCTCACCTTTAAATTCAGATCCATTGTCGGTTAGGATTTCTTCCGTATCTAGATGGGTATAGAGGAACCGTTCGATGTACGTGGCTATTTCTGCGGCCTTTCGGGTCTTACAAGGATAGACTTTGATATACTTGGAAAAGTGGTCGATTAATACTAATAAAATAGAATATTCACAGCGGTTTGGGCCAGGGGGCACGTCAATATCTGTCGTGTCCATACTGACTCGCTGGAAAGGACGCTCTACTTCCGTTGGTACGATTGTGTTTGGTCCCCGTATAGGGGCGCAATCAGCGGCACAGATCAGACAGCTAGCGACAACGTATTTGACATCATCTCGTATATTGGACCAGAACCATCGGTTCTGGTCTATAGTTGCCTCCGTGACACGTATCGCGAAATGAGCGGCCTGTTCCTCGTGAGCAGATCGGATCCAATCGTATCTCTGGAAGGGATGGGGAACTGTCAGCCACGAACCCGATCCGTCAGTTTTACGTTTTTCCAAATGACTGTTGATCCATCGATAGTCCCGAGATCTCTCGGTCGCCCTACTTCTGTCGCGTTTGGTGAGGTGGCCCAATGATAACCACGCTAATTTTGCCAATAAAATTTTATCTGTCCAAACCTCCGCTCGTCGATAATTTTTGTCGTATTCAGGGCCGTCCGTACGGGCGGCCTCGAATCGAACCTCCGTGGGGAGTTTGTTCGTTCWACATAGGGGGCACCTCCATTCCTTGCTACTCATCCGATATCGTACGCAGGCCCCGTGCGCACGGTTGACACACGTGGCACATTCTACCCAATCGACAAACCCAGTTTCAAAGGGATGACAGTCGACCCCATAAACCCGTGCAATGCACGTGCAAAAATAACAGAATTTATCGGGGAGGGTGGCAAAGAAAGCTGAGGAAGTAAGAGGGGCAGAATTAGTAGGAGAAGAGGAGGTTATGAAGGCAGGCGGGGTAGTCATGATGACAGAGGGGAAGAGACGGGACTGAATTAGTTTGTGTGTCACTTACTACTTCGACAGGATCTTCACTTGGCCGTACCGAGGCCCGATCTCCTGTTTTGGTTCGTTCCACGGAATCACCTCCTCACTCTTCAGAACTTTCTCTGGCCGGTGCAATCGTGTCAATCCGTCCGCGTTCCCGTGTCTCTCGTGCTTCCGATGACGGATGTCAAAGTCCATGCTTTGCAGCACCGTTGCCCATCGCCCGATCATGCCCGAGTAATCCTTCGATTTCTTCAGAGCCAACAGGGGCTCATGATCAGTTACCAGGGTTAATTTTCGTGCGTACAGGTAAGCATGAAAGCGATTGATTCCCGAGAGAGCCGCATAACATTCTCCCGTCGGAGCGGCGTAGTTGCGTTTGCAGGCGGGCATTGATTTGGACGCATACTCTATCACTCTTTCAATTCCGCTTGGTCCCACCTGGGCAAGGATGGCCGAAATCGCCTCTGGCTGCCAGTCGGTGATTAGAACAAAAGGCTTTTTGGGATCCAGTCTTATAAGGACCGGAGCCGAAATGAGGGCAGCTTTGAGTTTGAAAAACGCTTGATCGCACTCCGGCATCCAGATCAACGGCTGATCCTTGCGCAGGAGATTTGTGAGGGGTCCCGCAATTGCCGCGAAACCCTTGATAAATCTTCCGTAATACGAAGCTAGGCCCAGAAAGGCGCGAAGTTGCGTGATAGTGGTAGGCACTGACGCGTCCCTGACAGCTGCCACCTTCTGCGGTTCTGGTTGGAGTCCCTTGTCTGTCACCACGTGCCCCAAGAAGGAAATGGTGGTGAGAAAAAACTGACATTTCTCCAGCGCCACCTTGAAGCCTGCATCTCGTAACGCATGCAGTGCCCATTCGATATGTTGCACGTGTCCTTCGTAGGAACTCGAATAGACAAGGATGTCATCCATGTACACAATCACGCAGTAGTTGATGATGCTCTGCGCCAAGCGAGTCTTCCGTACGAAGTTCTGAAAAGCCATGTTCATGGCCCGCTGAAAGGTCGCGGGGGCATTGCAGATACCCATCGGACATCGAATCCACTGTCACGTGCCCTCGAAAAGCACGAACGCTGTTTTTGGTCGATCTTCCTCTCGGACAAAAAGATGATGAAACCCATGGCGAACATCAAACTTGCTGAAAAATCGAGCACTCCCAATCGCATCCAATAACTCATCAATCCGGGGGAGGGGATACACATCTTTAATCGTGATGTCATTCAACTTTCGATAATCAATGCAAATGCGAATCCCCCCAGCCTTCTTGGGTACTATCACTACAGGAAAAGACCACGGTCCTATAGCGGGTTCGATCCATCCATTAGCTGCGAATTCCTTAATCCGCTGAAAGGCGGCCGCTCGTTGAGCTAACGAGTATCGGTAGGGAGCGCAGCTAATGGGTGGATGATTTCCCGTGAGAATGGCATGTTCAATTACATTAATTAACCCCATATCATTGTCATGCATGCTCAGCACATTTGCGTAACCATTCAATACACAGATTAGCGACTTCCGAAATTCCGCGGGAACGTGACTCGGGAGGGGGATCGTTGATTCCCCGGACATATTAAGGGGCATATCGATCCAGTCAACCGGCCGTTCCCGCCGCTCATGGACTCTAGAGAAAACAGTACTGGTGCGAACAGAAAATACAATTGCTATCATCTGGGACTCGGCGGGGCTGATCATCTCCATTTCTTTAGTTTCAGAGTCAGTCTCTGAATCAACCGAAGTCGGTTCCACAGTTAGTCCTGTTAGATCCGTCATTTCTTGCATTAGATTCGGCACATCACTTACTGGCGCTTCCGCGTCTTGTTTAATCAAGGCGATGATTGCTCCTCTTGTTAGCAATGATCGAGGTGGGAAAACAGAAACGTCCAAATACTGTTCCGTTTGCTGATAACGCGTTCGTAAGGAAAGAGCTCCCTCGTACAAGGTGCAAGGGGGTTCCAAATCATCAGCCAGATCGGAGACTTGTAATATGGGTTCCCCGAGGAGGACAGAAGGACTAACCTAGGTTGTTAGAGGAGTGAATGTACTGTCTTCGGAATCCACGTGGAAGCTTCGAGCGGTGTTGGGGCACACTCGAAATTCTTCTGGGGTTTCATGTTTGAAAAGTTCGACCAGATGCTTCCATTCCTCTTTACTGGGCATCTCTTCTTCGTATTCTCGTTCCCTGATTCCCTCCCCGAGGCGCGAGGGGAAGCACTCCTCGGGATCAATGCCTCGGATCATCCCTATTTGGGGTGAGTTGGGAACCCGTTTTATCGTTCGGGTGGAAACCCGCAAGGGAACAGTCTGAGGTTTCCCCCCAGTTTGTGTGAGCATCAGTTGCTTCGAATCGAAATGCAGTCGTGCGCCTACCGCCATTGCCCAAGGTAATCTCAACAACACAGAATAGGAGCGTACATCTATTACGAGCGCGTTGACAAGGACGTGTACTCGTCCTACTTTTACAACCACGTTCTCGATAATACCTACGATATTCATTGCCTCCTCGTCGGCAGAGACATAGTTGTCTTTGCCAGATTGAGGAAGAATGGATCCAAGTCGTCCCGTCTTTTTGACAGTATCTAACGATATGGCTACTGCAGAAGACCCTGTGTCGATGAGGGCGTTAAACGGCTTACCCCAAACTTCGCAGTCACATCCCGCACTTTTCCATAGTACTGGTCGAGCTCGCACAAAGTGATCCTTTTGTGCTAAAGAAATGGCGGCTACGCGTGCGGCTTCGGGTTCACGTTCTTTTGTATCTGGCTCGAGGGGTGCAACTTCCTCACTTCCTTCCTTCTTCTTCAACATCCGCTGTATGCGCTGATAGGTGAAACGCTTTTGATTCTTCAGGCAATGTTGTAGAAGTTTATCGTTCGCCGCTTCAGATATGGTGAGCAGACGTCCTACTGGGATAGGTACACGAATATCTAATTGCTTGAGCGTTTTTAACACATCAATATCTCCTGTCCGAAACTGCAGTCCGGGATTGGATTCGCGATCGACCCATTCGAGATCATCCTGGGCCGATCAGATCGCTCCGATCATTCCGGCGAGATGAAGATACTCAAGGGGGTCGACTATGTCAGCAGCGTCAGAGGAGGAAGCTCCTGATGTCGACGCCATTGTCGTCGAGGGGGAAGGCTGCTCCGGGGCGTGTGCCACGAGTTCTTTTCCTGGGTCCGTATCCATCAGAGCGGCCACTCGACCTTGATTAAGGGCGACGGGGGGCACAGCAGTGGGGGGGCTGATTACGTTTCGGCTGCGGACAGTCTCGAGCAAAATGCCCGGGCTGTTTGCAGTTGAAGCATTCGATCTTTCCTGCCGGATTAGCAAACTGGGGAAACTGAGGGGCAAATCTTGGAGCAGGCGGAGCAGGTAAGAGTGGAAACGATGCAGGGGCAGGCCGAGCAGGAGCTGGGTTAGGCTTAATGAGCCTGCTCATTATCTGTTCCAACTGTTCTATATGAGCGGCCTGCATTTGGATCAAGTTACTCATCCATTCAGGCTGCTTGGTAGTAGCCGTATGGATCATTTGGGCAAGGTGTAGATTGGTTACGGCCGGCGAGGGGGGCTCAGATGAAGGTCCGCTTCTAATGGCTGCGATCGATTGATTCACCGGGGGAGATGAAGGAGAAGTAGTCGGGATATCGAAAACGATTCCGCTGGGAAGGTCATGGTCGGGGCGGGGATAAAATCGTTCGACCGCCTGCAACCACGATCGCCTTTTAGCCGTTACATCCCGTATGGTATCCGTAATATCTTCGTCTCCCTGGCTGATATATTTTTTTGTATCAGCCAAGTCTAGTTCCAACGCTTTAGTAATGGTAATCGATAACTGGGTTGTTTTTGGGGGAACCTTTTTCTGCAGTTTCCCTTTCAAGGTCGGACTTCGAAGGTGATCAATAAACAAATCTCGAGCAGATTTCTCGTCTCACCCGGATTTATCCAATGTGGTTTGAAATCGATCAACGAAATCGGGTAACAGTTCCCCTGGTCCTTGAGGTTGATTTTTGAGCACGTACTAGGCGACATCTCATTAACCGTGTTGAATCGAGCCAAGAATGCATGCTTAAAAGTCTCCCAATCTACCCATGTATGCTTTCTGAACGAGTCGTGTGATGTATTGCGGAGTCGTAAAGTCAGAACACGGGGAAGATCGGTTGCGCTGTAGTTTTGAGCTTTGACAGCTTCCAACCAAGCCTCGGGATTGGTATGGTTGGGGAAGAAGGGGAAGGGGGCAGGGATGCTAACGATCACCCTAGTACCGTCCACCATTATTGCGGGTGCAGCCGCTCCAGACTGAGATCTGGTCACTGGGCGATCTCGACGAGCTAGTTGAGGGTCTCTCCTACCTCTCGCCAGTTCGACTTACTATCATCAGAACCGACACGTGTCGGCTCCGATACCAACCTCACGCCCTGTGCTGTCTTTCGTTCGGAGTGTTAGCTGTGAGGAAAAGAGGCCCAGAAAAACAGCAAGATGGGGTGTGCCAAGGATTTTTGGAAATTCAGTGTGGGGACACAGACGAAACTGAAATCCCCCGTGTTGGTCCGATGGAGCAAGTCGATCGTTTTCGCTCGTCGCAAAATGCGCGCGCGGTAAAGCGGGAAGAGAGGGAAAGATCCAAATTCAATCCAAAAAGTATTGTCGTGCCTCCCACCGGGCTACAGCCCGTCGTTTAGAACAGAAAGGCTTAGGCATGCTTCGCGTGTCTCGTTTTCGTATAAAATCTCGTCGTCGTTCGCTCGTTAGTTCTGAGTCTGACGTGGAGGGTCTCAGCCGCGTGGCTCTTTCTTTATGCCCGTCTTCGCTCCACACACGGTAGTGAAAACCCCTGGACTCGTAGCGCTCAAAACGCTGACATTCGATGCACAGAGTGCGCGACCAGTGGGGTTCTACTGCCGTCCACGGAATGACAATCAACTCGTTAAATGGCAACAATACCGAGTAAGGTGGGAAGTGTGTATCGATAATAACAAACCCGRCTTCTACAAACCCAGAACAGCGGTTGGCCGGASGGAAGTAATACTGCCCGCCGATTTGTGCAAYGGCTTCTCGTACGTCCCACTCACATACAMRTGTCYTTTCCTCACTGYAAGGAAAAGGYCGCGTTGGGATGRGAGATACGGGAGGCTGGCGCCCAATCGAAGGGTACTTGTCAGTCCACATGTCAATCAATCACAAAATATCCTGAGACGTCATTAAGAACAAAARCGATTCGCGYRTCCCCCAATCAATCYTTTTGACACAAGAGAGAGAGCAAACATAGATCAGCTTGATCACGCATATGGCTACGGGTCCGATCAATTCAACACAACGTAGGTCCCTGGGCGCCTTGTTTCTCAGGGCCGCCTCGTGGCTCGGCTGCTGATGTCGTGCAGCATAAGSCARATGGCATGCGYAGTGCAAACAAWGCTACAGATCTAAACACTCTTGCATTCTCGAACAAAATCCCGACGACAATCGTCTAATCAACAAAAGAGTCACATATTCCATACATGCATTCACTGTGGAAGGTGCGAAAATGAGACATGCACCGGAAAAGATGG